ATGAAGAATTAAATTGCAAATGACTCGCACGGCTCATTCATACATTTTGTTATTTCTTACGCGGTGGATCAACCGATTTTCGTCGGGCAGCCGTTAAATCGTACAAAAATTTGGCAAGGAGAATCCTTGAGAGCGTACTCGCCTGCAACCGCGAGCAAAAAGCGACTGCGTTAATGACGGTTACCCGGGCTTCACCAATGGGTTCATCGATCATTCCTAACGACATATGCAGATTGCGCGCTTTTTGCGAGCACGAGATATTTCTTTGTATACGCACGTCATACACAACGATATGCAAGGCACCGCTGCTTGAATAGAAAAAGTAGATGAGTACTTAAGGTTCTCGACTTTCCGGTTAAAAGTCATAAATTTATAATAATTGATTCTAAGCAGCGTTATTAATCAAGTTTATGTATTGCGCGTAATGTATATAATTCAGTATATATACGTTTCTTGAAATTAATATTCTAAATTAATCTTCTCTCGCAATATTCAAATAATCATAGTCATTGTCATTATTAGTAGAACTTCGTTTTACAAATTTTCATTAAATTTCTTTCATTTAATTTAAATATCCGTAGATTTATTTTATTTTTTATCCGTAGATAATTTTCTTTATATTTTATGCGCCTTGTGCAAGAAAAATCGATTGCATCGAATAATATGATATTTTTTCTTATAACACTTATGATGTTGTATCGTGGATATAACTAAATAAATTATTGTTCATTCATATCGTTCTTCTTTAAATGGCAAAATGATATTCTGAAAAATCAAGAAAATTAGAATTACAATTTGCTTTCCAGCATGGATCAGTCATCAATTGGACCAACAATATAAAGCGACTAGCGATTTGGGGCACGTAATTCGCATTTTCCATTAACTGGCAAACGTTGAAATTATATTTGCGCCTCGATGACGTCGAACTGAGAACAGTTTGGGTGCTATCGATCAGTCGAAATATATTTCCGGACGGCATGGTTCATTCATACGATACAATGGAATGCTGATAGCTCACGCACACATGCTGTCGCGCGTGCACGCTCTGTTTTACGTTCCCGCGATTTTACACATTCACAAGCTTGGTAAACACCTGACCGAAAGGCAGACGAGCCAGATAGTGAGAGCATATGTTTTACTTCACCACTCGATTCAGATAAGCATATGATTTTCGCGGCAGGAAAATTGCGCTTTTTCACAGAATCATGACAGTTAATAATTTTGTATAATTCTACGCAATTCAAATTAAAATATATTCCATGTTTGGCTAAATAACTTTGAAAAATTTTACCTCTGTCAAATTTACACATTAAAGAGATTACGAATTGATGCAATTAATTAAGAGAAAGGCAAAAATTAATATTATCCTTTACATATCAGTATTAAATCTTATGTTTCTAAAATTTTAATATATATATTTCCTTCACTTATATATTTTCTATTAGAATAATTACGTATTCGAGGTAACTGCTTAATTTCGAGAAATTGAATTCCTCGGCACTTAATTGTTCGCTGTTGTTTTCTTCCCGATTTTCACACATGGCTGCTTCGAATTGAACACATGATCGACGATGCGAATATAAATGTTTGCTTACAGTAATATCAGCAGTTGTTTTCGTGATTATGTAGCGCACCTGTCAGTTCATTTTACTATGGAAAGATGCAAGCCAGTCGAGTGAAATGTTCAGTTTGAGTTTGGTTGTAAAAGAAAACATAGATAGAAGGCACATTCCATAGATTGTAACGCTTTCTAAATAGGCGCTTGCAAAACCGCAATCATTATGTCAGTTTTATAATATGTGATTCCTCATGAGTATAACAACTTTATTGAATACATCTATCGTTGCTTAAGTATAATATTAAAATGGTGCATCTTGTCACGAATTCATTCATTACTTGACATTTTTCTTTATTTGTACAAGTTTTAATTTATACATTAATCTAAACGATCTCAAGGCAATTATACCTGTGTTTAATATTTTATCTTTTTTTTCGTATTTTAGACTTTCGATCAAACACGTAATATCATGTTTTTTTTGCGAGAAATTAATGCAGTTTTTTTAAATAATTGTTTAACATATACATATCATGTAAATTGGTTATAAATTATATAAATTTGAACTATATAAGTATATTTATATTTAAATAACAATATGAAATACACGTAATTTATTAATTTTCGAGAATTCAATAGAATTTTGCAACTGATATTAAAATATCATTTGCTACATTTTTTTGGTCCATTAACATACATATGATTGACATTTTTTTCTAGATTTCCATTCGGCAGTTAATAAATGCTTTCTAAAGCGAAAACGTTATGGCAGTTTCGTAATGCATAATTATTGCGGCATAAGCACTTTTGATTTCTGATATATGCGTCGTAATAGCATTACCTATAGGCGCATTGCTTTTTCTGGACCAAGTTACTCGTACGTTGCTCTACGATATCTTGGGTCGCTTGTTTACAAAGCGTTACCATCTATGCGGAAACACGAAACAACGCGGTCATTATCAGCGACAAAGAGTTATTTTCATAATTAAAGCCGGGAAGGCGATCACACATATACACACACACATTGTATCGTCAAGTTTTATATTCTCTTGATAATCGGCTTCTGATAAGTATCGCACGATGTCACGAGAAGAGAGTTCGCTTCTAATGGAAACTAAATTGGTGAAACTCGAAAAAGAAAGGAAGGTTCAGGAAATCATTGTATTTCATCGCGACCCGTACATAAATTCTATTTATCTTTACCTTATAAATAAATATCCATTTAAAAATAAATTGCTACATAAAGTTCAGTAGCAGGAATAATAATAGCATTGTTGTTGATGCTATTATTATTTTTTAAAATTTATTTTTTCTCTCATTGTTTAATTTAATTTGCTATTTCGACGCGCGCTACGATTGTACAAGTAATTCAATTACAGATCACTAGTTATTTATTCTAATACTTTGTGAAAGAGAGAATTGTGTATACCATACAATATTTATCAATACAATTTTTTTTATATTTTACTTATTTAGATAGTCTGAGTATAAATTGTACATTTTATATGCTCTCTCTCTTTCTCTCTCTCTTCTTCTCTATCTATTTATCTATTTATCTTTGTCTCTTGTATTATATATTTATTATTATATATTTAATATTTGCTTAAACTCTGAAATTTGTATTCCTAATTTATACATCTTTCACTGTGCTTGCACGAACTTTTATCCACTCGCTAATTATTTATAAAATAAAAAATTAGATGAATATGACATGTATATATGTAAATCTATGCGTCGAAAGGAGCGGAAGTCGGATGTAAATGTCTTAAATTGATGACGCATGTAATCGTGAAGGAACATAAGAAGGATCTTGGAGAAAGCGATGCGACGCACATGCTTTCATCACAATAATCGATGTACGGTAGAAAGAAACATTTACTACTAATCATAAAGTAAAATAATTTATAATTGAAAGCTGTTTGTAAACGAAAATAATATCAATGATTCTCCTATATACACAAAGTGAAGTACCGTATAACGTACCGTAGCACAATTGTCCATGATATTGTGATTATAATATATACATATTTCTTTGTTAGAAATAGCTCTTCTTCCCCTAAATATATTTTAAAATTAATATAATAATTTTTAATCAGAATTTTTATTTATATAAAATTCTATATTACACGAAATTTAAACATTTAATTAGTAATATATATATATATATATATATATATATATATAAAATGCAGGGATAAAATTGCGATAAAGCAGCCATGATTCATAAAAATTTGAGATATTTTATTATAAATATATGTGCGTTTATCTAAGTAATTTTTAATCGTGTAAATGTCAAATTATGTAAAAAAATAAATGTGAAAATTATACGAATCTAATAATTTCCTTTATATATTTCACATAACATATTTGGTAAATACAATGAATATACTGATCGGTCAGCATCTAACATTAAATGATTTCTACAAAACTATTCTGGTGAAAGAGTCTTTTCGAATCGTTTATTTAATCGATTACAAATCTACATTTTTACTCGACCCATTATATCGTATATTACCGAGAGAACGCATAATAAATATGCATCCAATCATGCATTAAGTGCCGCGACGCCAGTAAAAATGTTGCAAAATTGGAAGTCCGTCGGAACATTTCGGGCACACGAAGATACAGCATGCGGATAAAACGATCGTAAACTGGAGAAGGTTCGGGAGATTTCGTTGCAAGGAATTTTTATGAGCAAACAGGTTGATATCAATGTTATGTGCAAGTATGGTCGTTCGATATGACAAGAAATGGATATATGGTATGGTCGTTCGATATGACAAGAATCAAATGCGCATCTTATCAACCAGCAATAGAATTTTTAATTCTTCTCACTATTTGCGATATTAACTTATAAACTGATAAACTTATAAACTGATTTCGTTTTAATTTGGATCAAAATTGAAATATTTGTTGGTCAAAAACTTGATATTAAATATTTTGATTATAAATTAATAACATATTATGAATAAAAAATAATTTTAGACAATCAACTTAAATATCTTAGATAATTGATAAATACACAAACTTTTCCTTCGATCGCTGTTAATTCATCCGATTTTTAAATGAAACTATTATTAATAATACAAGCCACAAAGCATTCTGAGAATCGTTGATGTATTATCTCTTTATCCCTTCTCTTTTCATTTATGTGTAATAAGAAATAAATCAAGAAAGAATGTTCAATTAGTTACAATTTAATTAGTATCGAATTTTTTATTCGTTTTGTTATCACTAATTAATAATCAAGATTCTTATTCAGACTCCTGAACAATTCAATCAAACTACTGTCTTTGTTGTTGATATTAACGTTTAAATACAGGCAAATATATAAACTTAAAATTTAATTATTCCAGATTCATTGATATGTCCTTATCTTATCTCTCAACATTAAATGCGAATTATTTAGTTTATATTTGATAGATTATTGATTGCTGCATTACAGGAAAAAGAAGAGTGTTCAACACTGCAAGAAAACTATACAAGAGATTGGGAAAAATAAAAAAGAAGAAAAAAAACAAGAACAAAGAAAAGAAGGAACAAAGAATAGAACAAAGTGCTTCTATTGTTAGTATCTGAAAAACCGAAGAAATTTTCCATTTTTAAATATTATATACTAACGCATCTACTGCACCATAAGGAAACTCGGTGCATTACAATGTAGTATGTGTGTGTGACTGTACCATAGGATACTATTACATATTACCAGACGCTGAAGAACAAAAGGTAAATATTTCGGCATGCGTGAACAAGGAATATATCTTCAACATTTCCGAGGAAGAATCAGATATCAAGAGAGAAGGAGAAAACAAGGAGATACTTTCTATGGTAAGTTCTCTAAGAATTACATTTTATATATATATATATATATATATATATATATATATATATATAAAATCATATTCAATATAACAATTAAATGATAATATAAGAAATAAAATAAAAATTTATATACAAAAAATATTAATGTTTATAAACATAATAATAATAATATCGTCTTAATTTTATCAGATTTCGCACGTGCATCAAAATTCCTCAAGCATAGACTAAAACAAAACTTTAATAATAGATAGAAATAACGAAGAGAATCTAAACATACTCGTAGCAATCATCCGTGGCAGAAGCACAGATACTTATATCTGTGAAAGGTATTTTCCACATTTCTCCCAACAAATAATTGCTAGAAAACAAAAGAAGAAGAGGGGCTATGCTTGAATTTAAGCATTGCAAAAGAGTATGAACGTGCATATGTGAATTATTCATAACAACTAACACTCATACAACACAAAATACTCCCATAATAATATCAATGTAATATTCTGTCATATGCGCATGATGTTAATTTTGTTATTACATGTTATTAACAATTTATAAATATATACTGATGCATAGACAGATATAATATAGAAACATGTGTACAAGCTTTTGAGATCAATTAAATTGCCAGTACAAGAGGAAAGAAATCCAGAAGTTTCAAAATATTACACCGGAAAATATATATGTAAGATATATTTTTTTTATTTATTTTTTATTTTTTATTCTATTTATTTTTATATTAATAAGTAAGAAAAGAAAAATTAAATTTTTTACGTTAAGATCTAGAAATAATTTTAGTAATATATAAATATATATATATATATATACATATACTGGTAGGTAAAGGTAAGTTTTTTTTTCCGAATACATACCATGCAATCGAGAAATTTGGTTTTCAAACTTCAAACTTAAACTTAAAACTCTTCTAAATTTTGTGGAAATCATATTAATTAGATTATTATTTACAAATTAATCTATTATTTACGAATTTAAGTTAATTATTTACGAATTTATCTTTAAACGCGCAAAATATAAGAAATCCCTCTTCTAATAATAAGTCAATATCCTGTATTAAATTTAAAATATTTTTTTTATATATACAAAATGTATGTAAAAAGAAACAAGATTTGAGAAAATTTCTAACACATAGAGGAGGAAAACATGGACATAGATCCGAAAACGTATCATTTCTTTAGAGTTTTTTTCAATAATTTTTTACAGTGTACGTATATTCGTTTGAAAAAGTCATTTATGGCTATTGTATGCACAATACGGACATCATAACGTTTCACTGTTCCTTCACTTCATTGCTTATAGCATCGAACAGGTAGTTTCAACTGTTCATCGCAGACATAGTATATTCAAGTAAGCAGTTGGCGGATATTTATTTCATTTATGGATTAGCAAATGTAAAAGTGGATTAGTAAAAGTAAAAGTAGAGGCGATTGATAATGAATATGATTTATTGATAATTCAATGTTTCCGAAATAATTTTGCAAAGAAGCATTTTCGGATTTATGGTCATTATTTATTTTCATATAATAACGTATTTTCATTTTCTATATATTGTATTGAGGAATATTTTCCCAGTTTAATTGTTTTTTAATTATATATCTTGTTTATTATATTTAAAGTATTTTTATCATGAAGAAAAATTCTCTCGCTAATTTTTTCAAATATAATATAATACAGCATAATATAATACAATATAATATAATATAATATATCACATTTTTTTCTCAACACTTCTTAAGTTTAAGATGTATACCGCGATGATATTTTGATTATCTAACTCTTTTCTTTCATGAAATATTATTTCTTCTATAGGATCATTTATTTCAATTATTAGTTTATTAATACTAATATTTTTAATTTGAGAAGCTTTATCTTTTAAATGTAAAATTATTAATTTATTTTATTTAAATTCATCTTTAGAATGATTAAGATATATAATATAGTATAATAATATAATATAATATGTTATTTAAAAATTTAAAATGATTGAGATGCATGTAGATTATACAAAGGAAAAGATTGTATCTAATCCTTTAATTCTTATAAAATTAACATGAATGATACAAAGAAGTTCGATTCGCCAGTCTAAATTTTCTTATCCTATTTTGCTATTATTATTAATACTATTAAGTTGTTATTAAAAATATATCGGATTGTATTAATCTTTTATATTCAATAACTAATTTTCTATCGAATAGTTTAATCTTTTATTTTTATTATTTTATTTCTTCACATTAGTGTAACAAATAATATTTTATTCTTCTTCACATCACAATGTTAATTTTCTTGTTTAAGCTGCTGCAAATTTATAAACACATTGATATATGAATATTATTGTGAATTATTGAATATTTTTTAATGGAGTTCTAGAATAAAATAAATGCAATCCGATTCTTCTAAATTTATTTGCATGTTTTTTTACAATAAATCATCTTTAAATATTAAATTAATGTTTTTTTTTAATTACAGTAAATTTACGCTACAATTAATGTTTTTTTTTAAATTACAGTAAATTTACGCTGCAATGAGCGTAACAATATTAAATAGGTTATTTTTATCGAAATTTTCATGGCTTTTATGATTTTGACATAAACAATTTTAGATGGCGTTAACGAAATAAACATAAAAATATTTCATGCCAGACGATTGTGCATGTTAAGGTCGATTGCACAATTCCATTAGCAGTGAGTTTTACATTGGCAATACTTAATTTGTTCATTTACGAATATTAAAATTTAAATTTTAATCGTCTCCGATGAGCCCGGCATTAAAAATGTAATGCATAATGTGTCCGTACGAATTACATATTTAAATTTTCATGAGCGATTGGTCAGTCAGTGACCATTAAAAATGTAATCTTCGATTCCCGAGTACTGCATAAAAATTTCAGCAACCCGTATGCATGAATTATCAAAAATATCATACATGCGTAAATTATAATAAACTAGTCTACTTAATATCATTTTGAATGTATTTTCTCATATTAAAAGCTTACACATTTTTGGAAAACAATTACGAAAACTCTTAAATATGATATTCAAACATATTATGATATTCATACATATAGTAAATGATGATAATTAATTAAATATAAATTGTGATTTAAAAGAAGATTATATAAATATAAATAAAAGATTTAAAAAGAACAAGACAGAGAAAATAAATAAGGACATTTTTCCATTGTAGATTATTTTTTTGAAACAAGACTTATTACTATATTAAAATGATGATCTCTCTCTCTCTCTCTCTCTCTCTCTCTCTCTCTCTCTCTCTGTCTCTCTTTGTCTTTTTTTCTCTTTCTCTCTCTCTCTTCAAGTAATCAAAAATGTCCTTTTTTATTTGCTCTGTACTATACATATAATAACTGATTATTTTTTTGAACAAAGCACATTGTGTTGCTTGCAGAAAACGGTAACGGATGGTTCTTCCTTCAATCAGGCCTGAATCGTGGTACGTAACAGTGCCTCGCGAGTGTAGATCATATAAATAATATACTTTCATACTAGAGACTGATAATCGTAAAGAATTTTCCTGTGTGCGCTTCTTTAAGTGTACTTTGATCATGCCGCAAATATTATGAAACCAATTAACGTAGAACACTCGGAATTTCCCTTGTATCTGCTTTTATTTGGGAAATTGGCTTTTCTTTTTTATAACGATCATCGCAAAGAACACGATTCTTTGAGCATCATTGGCCCTCATAACATTTCTGATCATTCAATGTAACGAGCTTGAACGCTCGTCCAGCACATTCAAGAAATTTAATTCGGAAACGAGTGAACTGAAAGACAGGCGAAGGTGTTTGAAGGTGGAGTGCCAAGGAGTGAACACGATAGCACCGCGGGTCGTGAGTCCTAAGGGGACGGACGCCATGGCGGCCTCTTCGTCCTCATCGAGCGGCGGCGAGCAGCAGTACTCGCTTAGGTGGAACGACTTCCACTTGAGCATTCTCAACTCATTCCGGAGTCTGAGAGACCACCAAGACTTTGTCGACGTCACCCTTGCCTGCGACAGCTGCACCTTCACCGCGCACAAAGTCGTTCTTTCGGCATGTAGTCCATACTTCCGCGATTTGCTCAAGGTTAGTATTCTTTTTATATTTCCCTCTTTAAATTTTTTCAAGCCCTAAGTTACAGATGATTGTAAAAATGGAACTGTTACCCGAGTAGAAATTCAATCATTTTTTAGCTACTAACTGGCCAGAAATCCTAGTTACTAGTTAGTTTTTGGCCAGTTTAACTAGCCAGAAACTGACGGGCTTAGAAAACGCTTGCTTTGCCAATTGGACAGTAAAATTAGTTTAGTTTTTGACCAGTTTCTGAATAGGGAAAAAAGTTTATATCTAATTATATGTAATTATGTAGATACAATTATGCGCGATTTTGACCCGATCTAATCATATATATATAGATAAAATTATTAAAAAATTATAGCCAGTATATTTTCAAAGTTTTCGCTGAACAGAAACTATCTAGCATTTACTTACCATTATTTCTTGCCTAGTTTTAGGACAGTAAGTGACTGAAACAATAGTCAGATATTTCTGGCTAGTTTTTAAACAGTTACTATCAAATCTTATTAATTCTAGCTAGTAAAAACTGGTCTAATCTTATTAATCTAATTAATCTTAGCTAGTAAAAACTGATCAATTTCTGAATAGTAACAAGTTTTTTCCAGAAATTTTTTTACTCGGGTATTTGGCGAGTTTTCTGATTAATTTTATGTTGTCAAATTTGATTTGACATTTCTAATTTATTTATTGTGTGATTTAACATAAACTAATATTTTTATGTATATAATATAATGTATATAATATTATGTATATAATATAATGAGCATGATATATGATTAAAAATATGTGAACACATATCGAAAATTTCATCATGAAATCGCAATTTTATAAAAAAAAAAAATGTTTTAAAATTCAAAATTTTATACATATAGAAATGCAATTTCTATATGTTTTGAACCAGAAGGAAAGCGTAAGAAATATCTAGAAATGTCAAGAAATATCAAGAATATAAATATCTTATTTAATATCTTATTTTTAAAAATTATGTAATATCTTAATTATGTAATATCTTATCTGTGATATCTTAATATCTTATTTTTCAAAAGAATTGAGGATACTCCAAATATTAAAAGCCACTCTAAATATTAAAAACCTTATGAAATCTCTCGCTATGCCACTTTTGAAACTGTACTAGATACATTAAGATGTATCTTACTGCAGAGAGAGAAATGTAATTCGGGACATGTGTCCTTACATTAATATTATTTCAATTGAAATATAAGTAAACAAATGCATTACAAAACAGATTACTTAGAGAATTAGAAATATAATTATTTGGCTTAAAACTGACATTCTAATTGCTAATTTTAATACAAATGTGCAATACTTGTTGAAAATTTCGCAACGATGCATTATTAAATCACAGAGCTGAGGAATGTAATTTAGCGGTCACTGCGAGCTATGTGTAACTCGATCGTAAAGTAGGAAAGTCGAGTCAGGGTCACACATGACACAATATGTGTAGGAATTCTAACACGTGGTAACATAACGAAATTATGGCTGATAATCGTGAACCGCACTCTAGTTATTTTTACTTTACGAAAACTGATGTCTTTCTTCTCCAATTCAAGAATATTTATGCTATAATTTATTTAGCATAGCCTGAATTTAAAAATTATTTTAATAAACAAACATGTTGTTGCAATAGATATTAGGTAATATATAAATATTTAATTTTATTATTATTTTATTCATAAGATTTTTTTTAAATTGCACTTTCTGTCATAATTTTCTAATAAGTATCTTGATAGAACGCAAATATCAAGTTTAAATATGATGCAGCATTTATTGATAACTACGAATGTGTCACAGAATTGAGAGAATCGTATTATACATTATTAATTTTAGCCGCTCCAGTAATAATTTATCTTTTCAGATTTGCCGCTAATCTTAGGTTATAAATGGGGATAGTCAGAAACACTATTAGAAACATTATTGAGCTACTGTGCATTTTATTTTGAGTTTCAATTTTCTATAAAACTTCTCACACACGGATATCATATTTGAAAATTTACACATATTGCTATGAAGATAACGACAAAAAGGAAAATTGAAAAATATGTAAAAGAAAATAGAGAGAAGATAAATATATATTTTATTATATTCTTATTATATCTAGTTTAAAGACAAAATATTTTCTAAATTTTCAAAAATCAAGATTTTTTCCTTTGTCAGCAACTAAATCTTTAAAAAAATCAACATGTGTAATTTTTCAAATAATAATTAACTTTTTGTATTAACATATAATTGACGCACGAATCGTATATATATATCTGTCGAATTTTTTGCATAAAAAAAATCATGTTTCCTAAATATTATATTTTTCGCGAATTATATACCTTATACATATCCAGGTTAATTTATAAATATTATAACTTTTATTATAACTTATTTTATATAAATAAGAAATCAATAAAATTGTAAATCACTTGCCTCATGTTTCGCCGTTGCCATCGATGTTTTTCTGGGTTTCCTCTTCCTTTCTTGACTAGTCTTCGCTCCTTCTTCATTGGCACTCACATGACACTCACTCGCGAAAACACGATTAATTACTATCGCGAATGTACTAATCATTAGAATACAACGACACTTTATATTCTTAATGAATCGCACGATGTACACTTTATTTATTTTAAGATGGGAAAATGCGTAAATTATAATTACACAAAGCTATGATTGATACTAGAAAATTGCGCGAACATTAATTACTTATATTGATTTATATAGCAAATATTAATTACTTATATTATCTATGACAATCTTTAATTGCTCATAAAGAATTATCGTTTGGCACCTTTTACTATTTTACGAGCATATTTTAAGAAATAAGATCATAATTTTTACGGAGCATCTCAAAAAACAGTCTTATTCGTTCGAACTCTTTCTCGTGAATGACAAGATCGAAAAAATACGTCAAGTTCAGTGACGTCACAGCGCGCTATTGTTTACAAGCAGTTGCCTCTCATTCATGCGTCGTCTCGTAGCGTCGCACGTCCTTGGTACGTATTTATTATACACGACTTTTATCAGTCACAAATTGAAAGCCGAACAAGAAAGATATAATATGTCGTGTGCGCGTCGGATTAGTTATATATAATTGTAATTTTTGCTATCGTTCAAATTTTCCTATTACAATAAATAACTAAAGTACACGTGCTATTAATATCGGGACTATATATTGTGCAATCATAATTAACTATATGTGAACTATATGTGTCTTACGAGTGCGATAGAGAAATAGTAGAAGATGAATGAGAGAGAAGAAGGATTTCAGAAAGACATCAACAGTGAGAGAGAGAGAGAGAGAGAGAGAGAGAGAAACAACAATGAAGTAAGTAGTTTATAATTTATTATTTATTTGTAATATTCGAGATTAATTGTAATATATAAAATCTACTGCTGTTAATGATGTGATGTTATTCTTTGTGAAAAACTAAAATATTTTTTGCAAAATTAGCGTTTAAAGTAATCAATTTTATGTTTCTATTGATTATATATTTTCTCGAGTTTTTCGAGAGGAATTAGTTCGTGACTCCCTTCTAATTAGATTCAAATAGTGGATAAATAAAGAGATAACGCAAGAGTCTTATTTCGCGCATTACTGCAATCGCTAATTATAATAACTGTAGTAGTAATTGCATATTCTAATTGATTCAAACAAACGCGTAGAAACCAGACCGGTTCTTACTTCTATGAATCTCGAATGTTACAAATCAACGTAAAATGATCAAGAATTATGCAACTTTTTCTCCCTGTATATATATATATATATATATATATACAGGGTGTTCTACAAAAAAATCGACAAATCCCTAGAATATATTCTGGAGGTTATTATAAACAAAAAAGTTTAAGTACAATAAATGTCAATCCGGTTCAGTTGTCGAAAAAATAAAGAAAAATTAATTCTTGTCAGTGACGCAAATTTCTGATAATGCGAAGCATAATCATATAATGATATAGATAATGATAAGCTTTGCCTTCAAACTAGTTTCCATCAGATAGATCATACAGAATGTGTCACCCTAAATATTTATTTGGCATTGAAAATTGGCGCTTGAACATTGTTAAGATTATCGCAGCTATTATTATTACAAATTTCTAGATACATTTTCATATTATTTAGTAGACTGTTTAAAAGTGTTAAGTGAACTCACATTATTCAATTAAAGTCTCTTATTATTTATACGTGATTAATATTCATATAATAAAAATTATAAATAATATTTTTTGTTTGTTACAATATATTTAATAAAAGTTAATTAATCTATAGCTCGATAACTGAGCTAAATTGATTTATAATCTGAACTTTTTTGCTTACAATTAAAATGAATCCTAAACTACATTCTAGAAGTTTATCGGTTTCCTCGTAGAACCGATTCTATATACATGACTGCAGAACACGTGTAACATTGGTTATGAAAGAAACACCAATTATTTTTTTTTAAATACAATCCTGTTTATTAGATTTTCTCTGATAAATCGTTGACATCAAAAACACAAGAATAAAAATAACATGACGCGGGAATAACAATTACATGTAATAATTAAATATAATTATTGAGATGAAATAAAACAGCATTAAAATATATATTTTAATAAAGTTATATTTCTGTATCAAAGGATTTCATATTATAAATACGGTAATAATATTTCTGAAATTTCGTTTCTCAGACTTTTCGTTAAAAATCTATTACATTCTATCATTTATCTATCGATGCATTCTATTCATTAATTCAAGATCTCATTGAGATAAACTACTCAATAGAATTATCGATAGAAAAAGCAATCTCATGGTATTCCTATGTAGTAAAGTCCACAAAGAGCTTCCGGTTTCATATGCATAATAATTCATAGCTAGTATTCGAGTCATCGCTAATAGAGATCCACCCTTTACCTCTACGCAAGACATCATCGATCACTTTGACATGTCGTCGCGATGTTGTCAACACTTCGCGTTCGTCTATCTTTTCGAGAACCTGTTTCCTTCTCATGCTTCTCACTCTTGA